CACATCTTGAAGAGCGGTCGCCAGGTCAGCAGCAGCTGCCACGTCAGCGAACATCAGGACGTCCACCTCAGCGTTGAAGCGCACACGGGAGGGCGTTCGGCGGCCGTCAGATTTGGGAGTGATGGCGTCATGTGAGGTGTGTGTGTTGTCATGGTTGTTGGATGACAGACTGAGGGACTTACGGAGGTTGCGGCGGGTAGTGGGACGGGGAGTACGGATATGAGCCGAGCTTTGCGTCGAGGGAGTGATGTCATCAAATGAGGAGGAGGTTTGAGTGTTGTCATGGCTGTTGGATGACAGGCTGAGGGACTTGCGGAGGTTGCGACGGGTAGTGGGGCCGGGAGCGCGGATACGAGACGAGCTTTGCGTCAAATCAACAGCGGGATGCAGGTCATACGCGGGAGACTGGGGATCAGTTGCGGGGGAAGGCCACCACGGTTGTCAAAGGTCATACTCAGTGACTTGCGGTGCTTTCTTCTTGCGACGGGAGCGTGGCGGCTGTCACGGGATTCGCTTGGCTTTGAGTCGTAAGGCTGGCTGTCATAAGGCTGGCTTTCATAAGCCTGGCTGTCGTAAGGCTGGCTGTCGTAAGCCTGGCTGTCATAAGGCTGGCTGTCGTAAGCCTGGCTGTCATAAGGCTGGCTGTCAAGTGTCACGCTCAGGGACTTGCGGTGAGTGCGGCGGGGCATGGGACAGCTGTGCTGCAACGAGCTGTGCTGTAACGAGCTTCGCGCCGCCTTTCCAGGCTGATTCAGGTCTGGCGTGGGGCAGGGAGAGTTGCTTGCGGTGGGAGTGGCGTTGCCACGGTTGTCGAACGTCATGCTCAAGGACTTGCGGTGCCTTCTGCTTGTGGCAGGAGCAACACGAGAGGTGTCACGAGGCTGGCTTTTGCTTTGCTCTGAGTCAAAAGGTTTGCTGCTGTCAGGAGTGGAAGTGTGAGGGCCAATTGGGGCGGGACGGCCGCGGCTGTCAAATGTCATGCTCAGGGACTTGCGGTGCCTTCTGCTACGATCCCCACCACTGCTGTGAGAGGAGCTCCGAGTCGACGTGAAAGGGGGATGGAGGTCAGGCGTGGGAGGGAGACGATTGCTTGCGGTGGAAGCAGGGCCATGGCCGTCGAATGACATACTCAGGGACTTGCGGTGTGTGCGACGGGTGGTGGTGGTGGTGGATTTGGCGGTCGCACTGCTGCTTCTTCTGGTGCTGGTGGTGATGCCAGTTCTGCTGCTGCTGCTCCTGCTTCCAATGCGCTGTCCTGCCCCCTTGCTGCTACCAGCCCTGCTCACACCGCGGCCACCTTGCTGCTGCTGCGACTGCCGCCAGTGTCGAGGCCGATTGCTCTCCTCGGATTGACTGCGACAAATCCGAATCCCTCTTCCATTTCCACTCTCTTTCATCCGCCTCTCCAACCCCTCTCCACTCCTCTCGCCACTAGTTGCACCATGAATTTCTCTCCGTTGCTGCTGCCGCTGCTGCTGCTGCTGCTGCTGCTGCTGCTGCTGCTGCTGCGGCTGCTGTGGCTGCTGCTGCTGCTGCTGTGGCTGCTGCGGCTGCTGCTGCTGCTGTGGCTGCTGCGGCTGCTGCGGCTGCTGCGGCTGCTGCGGCTGCTGCGGCTGCTGCGGCTGCTGCGGCTGCTGCGGCTGCTGCGGCTGCTGCGGCTGCTGCGGCTGCTGCGGCTGCTGCGGCTGCTGCGGCTGCTGCGGCTGCTGTGGCTGCAGCGGCTGCTGTGGCTGCTGCGGCTGCTGTGGCTGCCGCAAGTGATGAGGATAAAGGCTCTCCTCAGATTGACTGCGACCGATCCGCATCCCTCTTTCACTTCCACTCTCTTTCATCCGCCTATCCAACCCCTCTCCTCCCTTTCTGCTGCTCACCACATTTCGAGGCATTGCAAAACACTCCTCCTCTTCCTCTCTCCAATCCTCCTCTTCCTCCCTCCCCTCCTCCCTCCACTCCTCCTCGTCCTCCTCATCCCTAAGCGGCTCAAACGAGTCGTTAAATTGCATGCCCAAACCTACCTGCTGATATTTGTTGACAGGGTTACCCGCATACAAGTCCCCCTCCTCTACTTTATGGTACTTGCTGACAGGGTTAACTGCAGACGTGCCCGTTTCCAGTAAATACGCGCTCGGGTTAATCTCAGATGTACCCGAACTAAACGGGTAGTTTTCTGGGTTAATCTCAGGATACGCTCCAAATTGATTGCTCGCTTCCTCCCCCCCCGCCGCCTCTTCCTCTTCCGCTAGTTGTGACACAAGCCGATGTGCTCTTAATGGGGTTTCAGAGGAAAAGGAAATGGAGAGGGGGAGGGAAACGGGAGGCGAAAGTGAAACAGGAAGGGGAAGGGGAAGGGTACCGGGAAGCGGCCGGCAGTCGGAGGGTCTCACGCTTCTCTGCTGCGACGTTTGAGGCGCCTCAAAAGGAGCAGAAGCGGGAAGCGGCCGGCAGTCAGAGGGTCTTACACTCCTCTGCTGTGGCACTAGCAGGCTGGCACTGGTGCTGCTGGTAACCTGGTTACTGCTGCTGCTCTTGGCATTGCCGTTTCCGCTGCTGCTGCTGCTATTTATGGTAATCTGGCTGCTGCTAACACTGCTGCAACTGCTGCTGTCACTTTGGCAATCGCGCTGTCTGTTCTGAACAGCGAAATAACGACCAGCAAAATCAGCAGCAGCATCAGCAGAAGCAGCGGAAGCAGAAGCAGCAGCAGAAGGAGCGGCAGCAGCACTGCCATAACCACCCTCCACAACTTTCCCCGCTTCCTTCTCCCGTTCCTGCGCCTGTTGCCCCCTCCCTTCATTATAGTCACCATCCCCCTCCCACTCTCTGCTCCTCCTCCAAGGCTGTGTATTGGCTCGCTTCAGTATCCCTGCTTTAGGAGACTTGGAAGCTGAAGACTTATATCGAATCGCTCTGTAAGAAGCATAAGGATCAGCCACATTCGAAGCATCCTTCTGCTGCTGCTGTTGCTCCTGCTTTTCCTGCTGCTGCTGAATGCTGTGACTATAAAGGGAGTGGGAATGACGAGGCGATAAGAGGTGCATATAACGAAGGGAGTCTGTAGAAAGGGCTTGCACGCCTGGGATGGATACAAACGAGGGGTGTGGCATTGCTATTGGCACATCTGCTTCTGCATCAAACGTGCTTGTAGCGGTAGCGGATGTGCTTGTATCGAATGCCCTTGGGTCTGTCTTACGTCTGACTAGCGCTGAGCTTGCATTGAGGAAGAGAGGGGGAGCGGCAGGGAGACGAAGCTTAGCTGCTGCATCTAATGTGCTTGTTGGAGCAGGTGGGGTAGAGGCAGATGTGCTTGTATCGAATGCCCTTGGGTCTGTTTTATGCCTGACCAGCGGTGGGCTTGCATGGAGGAAGAGAGGAGGAGGGGAAGGGCGACGAAGTTTGGCAGCTGCGCGCGCGACAATGACAGCAGCAGACTCAGAAGGTAAAGCGGGAGATGCGGAGACAGAAGGTAAAGCGGGAGACGCGGAGACAGGAGAAGAGATCCTAGGCGCCTCAAACGCTGCTGCTCCCGGCACCACCATAGCAGCAGGGACAGAAGCGGGGTGGGACAAAGACGAAGTGGTGGCAGGGAGAGAAGGGGAGGTGATATCTGGGGCAGGGTGGGAGTGGTTGAAGGAGCGGAGGAAGGATTGGATGGAGTGCTGATGCTGGAGGGAGGAGGAGGGAGAGCGCGGAGAGAGAGGGGGAGGCGTTCTGGCCAAAATGTTGCTGCGCTGCTGCTGCTGCTGGTGGTGGTGCTGCTGCTGCTGCTGCTGCTGCTGCTGGTGGTGGTGGTGGTGCTGCTGCTGCTGCTGCTGGCACCTTCACATCAAGTGAAAGCCCCTTCCCCCGCCCCTTCAGCTGCAGCTGCATGTGCTGTTTTGGCCGTTCGTATAGCCCCCCATCCTGCTGCTGCTGCAGCAGCTGCTGCTGCTTCTGCAGCCCATGCTTCTGCTGCACCTCTTGCTTCTGCTGCACCTCTTGCTGCTGCACCCCTGCGTGGTGCCGCTGCCATGCCTGCAGCTCCTCCTGCCTGAACTGCTGCCTGCTTCTATCTCTCCTCTCATAAATCGAGCTCACAGACCTCTGAGCTCCTCTCGGTGATGTTCTCATCGCCTCTGAACCCTCCTCAGCTGCTTGCAAGTGCTGCTGTTGGCTTTGATCTCTCCTCTCATAAATCGAACTCACAGCCCTCTGAGGCTGCGGTGATATTCTAGTCGCCTCTGAAGCTTCCTCTGCCTGCATGTACTGCTGCCGGCTTCTATCCCTGCTCTCGTGAATCGAGGTCACAGATCGATGAGGGTAGGGAGCTTTTTGAGTCGACTCAAAAGCCTGCTCCTCTGCTTGCATGTACTGCTGCCGGTTTCGGTCTCTGCTCTCGTGAATCGAGGTCACGGACCTTCGAGGGGAAAGAGGTGGCCGGGATTGCACCAACGCATGCTGCTGCAGCTGCTGCTGTTGCTGCTGCCATGTCTCCTGCCGTTGCTGCCATTGGCCCTGCTGCATGTGTCCCTGCTGGCGCAGGTGCTGCTGATGCTGCTGCCAATCGAAGCGTCCCCCCTTCCTCCTGTCTCCCTCATTGCCCTCCGCACTACTATGAGAAGAGACACTGCTTTCAAAAGAAACATCCCTCGGTATAAAACCAGCATTTGACCTTTGAGTCGACTCAAAGCTCACCTCGTTCCCCCGCGACAAAAAGCTGCTTTCGAAAGAAACATCCCTCGGAAAAAAAGCAGCCGATGGACCTATGACAACACCACCTCCACCACCCGCACCCCCAACCCCATGCCCAACCCCACCACCACCACCAGCAAGGGCAGCAGCAGCAGCAGCAGCAGCAGCAGCAGAACTTCCAGCGATGCCCCCCACTTGCTCTCGAGATGGCCGACGTTCCTCTGTCACTGAGTTTTGAGGCGCCTCAAAAGCCCTTTGCTCTCGAGACGGCTGTCTCTCCACCACCACCGAGTTCCAACGTCGGTTCACCCGAGCAGCAGCTTTGGCAGCAACTAGCCGCGTGTTGCTGGCACTAGTCATGCTGCTGACACCAGTGGTGGTGCTGGTATGGCTTGATGCGGCAACAGCATAAGCAGAAGCAGCAGCAGGAGCAGCAGCACCAGAAACATTACTCTCACCTTCCAAAGAAAGAAAATCAGCCCACCGCTGCTCCGACACCTTCCGCTCCAATCGCTGCACGACACCTGGCGCTTGCCATTCCTCTCTGCAAGCTGACTCGTTACGAACAGACTCATTAGTAGATAATCCAGTAGAGGCTCCAAAAGCTGCTGCAGCAGCAGCAATATCAGCTTCTTTCGATGACAACCTTCGACCACCCCACTTGCTCCGGGCAGCCTCAAGACTCTCCGAAACTACCCACTCGTGCTTTTGCTCCTCCTTGCTACCACCACCACTAGAACCAGCAGCAGCGGCAGCAGCAGCGGCGGCGGCGGCAGCAGCAGCGGCAGCAGCAGTAGCTGTGCGCCAGATAGTAGAAGACACATGCTCCCCTCTTTCACTGTCATTCGTGACACACATGTTACTGCGGTTACCACCGCCGTTACCGACGTCGTTCCTGCTGCCTGTGCCGCTTTCACTGCTGCGGCTGCGGTGGTGGCTCTGCTGACCCTGCCCGTGGTCCCCCCTTTTATTCTGCCCGTGATTCTGCCCAGAGCTCTGCCCATAATCCTGCCCGTAAAAATAACTCTGCCCCTGGTGAGGGAAATAGCGTGCCTGTGCAGGGTCGCTAGAACCAACCTCCATGTGCCGTGCCATTGTCACACCACCACCACCACCCACAGGAGGCACAGCAGCCGCAACAGGTGTGACTGTAGCAGATGTGACTCTAGCAGGTGTGACTGCAACAGGAGGGAATTCTCCGCTTGATCCTCCTCTTCTGCTCGGCCAATCAACACCATTCTCCGCTCCATTCCCAGTGCCGTTCCCCGTGCCATTCCCAATGCCGTTCGCGCCCCCACCAACACTGACAGTGCGAGCAGCACCAGCAATGCTGCTTGCACCAGCACAAGCAGCAGCAGCAGGGGAAGTGGTTCGATGCTTGGGCGACTTAAATGCCGAGCTGGCTCTTGGTGTCTTGGGCGTTAAAGGGGGCAGGGGGGAGCGCGATCGGGATGATGATGCCAACCCAACACCACTGCCACCACCACTGCCACCACTACCAGCAGCAGCAGCCGCCGCAACAGCAGCACCACCACTACCACCCCCACCACCAGCAGCAGCAAGAGGAATGTCTTCAGCACTTGAAGGTGCAAGGAGGGGAAGAGAGGGCAGGCGGGATCTGAAGAACCCAAGCTTGCCCGGACTCTTAGGCTGCAAGGAGGAGGAGGAGGCGGCAGAAGAGGAGAAGGCAGGGGGAGGCGACGCACTCGGACTCACACCTACTGACCTTCCTCCATACGTCCTTCCAGCTTCTGCTCCCACTCCTCCTACTCCTCCCCCTCTTCCTCCTCCTCCTCCTCCTCCTCCTCCTCCTCCACCCGCCCCTCCACTTCCCTTCTCTCCCCCGCCTCCGAGGGTCACTCGTTCTGCTCCTCCCCCTCCCCCCCATATACTGCGTCCCGTCCCTCCTGTGCTGCTACCCTGAGGGCCGGATAAGCTTCTTCTGCTCCTGAAACCCCCCCCCCCTCGCTCCTCCCCCCCTCTCTCTTCCCTCCCTCTCTCTTCTCCCTCTTCCCTCTCCTTCACCTTCTCCCCTCTTTCCTTCTCCCTGCTCTTTCCCCTACTCTTCTTCTTCTCTTTTCCCTTCTCCTTCCCCCGTTCCCTCCCCCCTCTTCCTCCCCTTTCCTTCTCCCTTTCCTTCTGCCACTCAACCACGATACCCCTAGCCTCCCTCTCTGCTGCAGCTACAGTACTGCTGGTGTCGATCGGACGGCCGTCATACGATATCGGAAGAATCGTACGGCTGTGATCATCCGTGTACTTTCGCCAGCATGCCTAAATCAGGTGTGATGGGGGGGAAGGGGGGAGGGAGAGGGTGGAGGAAAGAGGGGAGAGGGGGGGGGGGGGGAGTGAGCGAACGGGAAGGAGTGGAGATAAAGAGGTTAGGACGATGCAAAAAAGGAAGAAAGAAAGAAAAAAAAAATGCTGAAGGAAGGCGTAGTTTATGTAGATGTTCATATGTTCATTTTAACGTAACAGAAAAAGTGTTACCTGGAGTATGTTTGTAGCGAAAACGTCGAACTCGGGGAGCCAGGGGTCGGGCTGAACGTGCGCGTGCAGGAAAAGCTGCCACGCCGCGTTCGCCTGCGCTACCACCCCCAGCGCCCTCCCCGCCCCCTGCTCCCCCACCCGCATGCGCGGCAGAAATGACGGCTTGTCCGCTGTAGGCGGAAGGGGAGGTGCGGAGGGAGGAAGCGGAGGTGGAGGGGGAGCAGGTGGGTGGGGAAGTTAAAAGGAAGAGGGAGGAGGAGGAAGAGGGGAAGCTGGTAAGGGGAGCAGTCGGGGGAAAACTGACAGAAATAAGGGGCGGAGGAGGAGGAAGTGTGAGCGGAAGCCAAGCATCAGACCTAATTAACTCCCTTCCGTAGCCAGCCTGATATCGCGTATGCTCACCTGCACTTGTAGCGTCACACACGGCCAGCCACGCGTAGATCTCTTCCAGCCTGCCCGGCATGAACTCGGGCAGCTCATCCAAATTGTTCAGCAGATTCGCCACGGGATCCCCTCCACCAATCGCAACCACCACCCACGCCAATCCCTCCTCCCGCACCACCGGAATCGCACCAATCGGCTTCACCGTATGCACCTGCCCGAGTTTCGCGGGCTGACGTGAAAGATCTAAAACTTCCACCGCCGTTCCGCATCCCGAAACGCCGCCAAATTCGTCCTCTCCTTCCTCCGGATCTTGCCACGTCTGCGGAAGCGAGCCGATGTGCCACGGCGCGTCGCGAGCGAAGTGCGACGGTTCGCCGTTTCGCGAGCTCGGAGTAACACGTAACGGTGTGTATTCCTCCGGTGCGAAATCATGTTTCGCCCACGTCCCTCGCGGCGTCGTGCAAACGAAATTGAGCCACGTGTTTTTCCCGTATAAGGGGATATTATGCCACGGCGACACTATGTGACCGTTGTTATCTAAAAACATCATCCTAAAACCTAGCGACCCCGGCGAACCGAACTGAACCGCGTGGCCTTTTCCTTCCGTCTCGCCCCACGAGACTTCCGGAACTTGCGGCTGCTGACTCGCTTCGTCATTTTCGCGATCCGAAAAGCTAGGGTCATCATCGCGATTATCAGAAAGAGACTTGCTGGTCGGGAATATCAAATCTCCTTGCTTCAGGGCGATCGGATCCGCGCCGCGTTGCTCTAAAAGCGGTGCGGCCGCCGCATCTGGCGGCGGGGATCGCGCAGGCGTCGATACAGGGAGTGAGTTGAGTCGAACCGGACGGTTTTTTCCGTTCTGTCTTCCTTCTGCAGGCTGCCCGAACTGTGTCCACGTAGCCTTCTCCTTCTGCGGCGCGACTCGGCTACTGCTGGAAGTGAAGGGCCGCTGCCACATTGTGACGAATCGCGCGGCGGTCGCGTTCGCGCAGCGCCCGCGTGAGTCTCAAGAGTCGCCTCGACAACCATGAATGAACGGCGACTGCCACATGTCAGCCCGCGCGTTCGCCGTGCTTCGCGGCGTCTGACGTGGCGTCCGCCGATGCGGCGTCTGACATAGGTAACGCGTCTGATGTGGTGCTACATCGGACAAAATCCTGCGACGGCGGAAAGGCTAGAAATTTGAACGTGCGCCCCAGGCGAAAAGACTCTCACCTACCCTTCGAGTGGCAGGAGCTACTGGCAGTTGCGGACGTCACGGGCCCGTGCTCGAGTCACGATGGCGCGGATGCGTCATATGAATCACAGGAATTGTCCGAAATACCGCGCGTACTACACGTACCGCCGCGCGAAAGACTCAACGACAGAAGCTTCAAAATCTCTAAGAACTCTATACGAACTAGTACCGTCTGTTACAGGCATTGGGCTGATCATGAGCGTCGGTTTGATTTTTTTCAGAAAAAAACTCTGTACAGTCGGTGCCCATTACAAGAACACCAGGTAGGCGGGCGGCATGTGAGTGAAACGAGTTTTAGAATTTCGCTCATTTGCCCGTACTTTCGCCCTCGTCGCCCCAGGCAAAATTGTGACTCGAAATTGAAAGTGCAATGGATGTGGAATGTGGGGCTTTAACTTTGTAACCAGGTCACCAATCTGCTGACGTGTATCCTTTGTTGTTTGTGCTTTGTAGATGTTGACTTCCGCACATATGTGACTGTACAACTAAAATTTCACAATGCTCGATTCAGTCACCCCACGGGCGCAAGTGAGTAAATCTGTAATTATGATAGCATTTGTTTTGTGATAGGGTGAGCATCGACTGTATAGGGCGTTCAAAGCATGCGCAGCATCGTGCAATGTCATCGTGACGATTCTTCAAACTTGACTGACGCTTCTGGCGGACGCTCCTTGGTCCATCCGTTGAGCACCTTTCCAAAAAAGGGGGGTCCTTTCAGAACGTATTGTGACCAGAGAAGCGGACATGTGGCTGGGTTGCCCTACGCTGCGGGGAGGTGTGGAGAGGCGGGGGGAGGAGAGGAAAGGAGAGAAGTGTGGAGGAGAGATTGGAGGGGAGGAGAGGAGAGCTGAGGGGGGGAGAGGAGAGGAGAGGTTAGGAGAGAGGAGAGGAGAGGTGAGGGATGGGTAGGAAAGGAGAGGGGAGGATGAGGCAAGCGAGGGAGATGAGGTCAGGTAAGAGGCGCTAGTGAGGGAGTTGAGCGATTTCGGCTATTCACCGCTCGTTTGAGCGCGATAACTCACGCAACCGCTGTAAATCGTTTCATTGCACCTTTTTTCGCTCATCTAACCGCAAGATTCAGATGGTTGTGGGCTCCCGCAAGAGGGACAGACGGACGAACCGACGCGAAACACACGCGTTCTGTGACATGTCGTGTCGTGTTGTGTGGTGCGAAGTTCGCTGAGGGTGCAAGTTGGGCATTCGTCTTGCTTCATTACGCCCCACACGCGGTTACGTTGACCTGACCAATGACCATGCGCCGCACGCGACGAAAGTCAAGTTTCCCCAACCACAGAAACATTTCACATGCTATGCCTTCAACTCTCCCTTATAACCTCAACATAGACACTTAAAACTGTACCAATTACAGAATAACTTCCAGACCCCCCTGAAAAGCGAGAACGAGTACAGAATTGCTGAACCTTTCTGGTCCTTTTTATATATTTCCCCCCCCCCAAATTCGGTATCCAAGGTCAGGTCTAGTCCCACGACGCACAACAAGTGTGTCATGCTTCGAAGCCAAAGTCGCCAAAACCGACAGCTTGACCAACTGTACTGTGCACAGTGCCACCACAGGGAGAGTTCGTTCGTTCCAGACACGGAATTCCTTCAAAAAGTGGAATCTCGATAAAAGTTACAAGTGAGATGAGTCAAACACTTCAGAAATTTTTATGCTTATATGCTACCCAATGGTTCTTTACAGCATACAACAATTTTGGTGGAAACACGCAATGGCACTGATCGTTCAATATAATCAGTGACCGTACATGTTATCGAGGTCCTTGTTAGTGACCATCCACATACTCCCGCAAGTGCCGCTTTATAATCCGCTGTTCTGGGCTATCATAGCGAGTTTCTGGCGCGCACTAGCAATGTCGGGTTTCTGACACAATGCGAATGCTAACGAGCTTTATTTCACGCCCGTCGCGCGCTCAATGTCGCTCACGGATCCGCTATAGTCAGACGCGTTGCTTTTAACTACGAAGTAGAACTATCAATGCGTAGCATTATATTCAGAGGGGTCTCTGCTGCGTCTCGTCGCAGGATATTCAGATGCTCGTTCAGACGCTATTCAAAAGGTTGCTCATCAGTCCGAGCGGTTCGCAGTTCGTCCTAGCGCCTTTCGCGTCTGCTGCTGCTGGGATGGAGTGCGTGATTCAAGGCATAATCGAGAGTAAGGTGCGTGGTTCGTGATTATTGAGAACGGCAAGGCATGCCGAAGGCTTTTGAGGCGGCTCAAGGATGGAATGCTCACACTCGCCCCACTTTTCTCTCTCTCTTCCCCTCCACACACCCGCTCTCTCCCCTTCCCATCCCCCCTCTCCCTCTCCCACGCGCTCTTCCTTTCCATTTGCCCTCCTCCCCCACCACTACCACCAGCATGTGCGTGCACTGGTGGAGCTTATAGAGGGGATGACAGGCGCCAGAGTAGAGAAGCTGGATCTACACCAACTAGTGTACAGAAACGCGCCCAATATAGGTATCGTGGGAGGATAAGTGTTAATGCTCCATGCATCATGTGCGTGCACCAGTGGAGCTTATATAGAGGGGATGACCTGCTCCAAAGAGGTAGGGCTGGATCTACACCAACTAATGTACAGAAAAGCTCCCAATATAGGTACTGTGGGATTATGTTCATGCTCCATCCATGTGCCATCCGCCATGCTGCATGCATCATGCATCATGCCCCATGACCCCCAACCCCCATCCCCCATGACCCGTGGCCTATGTACCATGCATCGCTGTGTTAACTGTTGCTACAGAGAATGTTTTCCCATTCTTATGCCCAATCCCTCACTGTCACTCTACTACCCCTTTAAATTGTAGAGTGTTTTAACCCTTTGGAACATACCCTCATGAGTGTTTTAACCCTTTGGAACATACCCTCATGAGTGTTTTAACCCTACACGTTTTATCCCACCAGGAGCCACACCCTGTCTGTCTGTTTACCACTCCCTTGCGTAATGCTGTACCGTCTTGTACCGTTCTGTATCCCACCAGGAGCCATACCGTGTGAGGTTCGGCTGGAGTGCCCTCTCAACTGCAGCCCGCCCATATGGTACGTTCTGTCATGGCATGGCATGGCATGGCATGGCATGGCATGGTGGGGATGAGGGAGAATGGCATGGCATGGCATGGCATGGTGGGGATGAGGGAGAATGGCATGGCATGGTGGGGATGAGGGAGAATGGCATGGCATGGCATGGCATGGTGGGGATGAGGGAGAATGGCATGGCATGGCATGGCATGGCATGGTATGATAGGATGAGCGAGAATGGCATGGTAGGAATGAGGGAGAATGGCATGGCAAGGCATGGCATGGCATGGCATGGCATGGTAGGGATGAGAATGGCATGGCCTGCATGGTGAAGGGGGCAATCATTCGCACTGCACTGCACACACCTCCTCCCCCCCTCTCCCTCTTCCCACCCATCTCTCCCGAGACTCACACCAGGACCATGGTGCATGTGGGGGGAGCCATGAGGGGAGCAGGGGTGGACCAGCTGCCTTGTCTGGTGAGCAGCATAGTGCGTGTGAAATAACCCCCTTTTCTCTTCCCCCTTCCTCCCCCAATTTGCCTGTCCCCTTCTCCCCCCACCCACCCCACACAAACCAGGACCATGGTGCATGTGGGGGGAGCGATGAGGGGAGCAGGGGCGGACCAGTTGGCTTGTCTTGTGCGCAGTATAGTGCGCGTGAGGGCATCCCCGTCAGTGATACACCTTGTACCCGCTATAGGCCTCCGCCTCGACCACGAGGTACTGTTCTGGACGTGGCTTAACAAATTCTGCGATCTGTGATACACCTCGTACCCGCTATAGGCCTCTGCCTTGACCACCGAGGTACTTCTATCTACGGACCATAGATAGAAGTAACGAGTGCTACAACAATCTATGGCTACAACAATCTATGGCTACAACAATCTTTCTAGCAGCTACTTTGGTGCGGCTATGCAGTTCGTTCTAGCCTTTGCTCGTTCCGACTTTTGCTCGTTCCGACCTTTGCTCGTTCCGGCCAAGGCCAAGGCCTGTAAGTGTCACCTCCAACCCAGTCTCCTTCCTTCCCATTCCAACTCCCCGCAGCTCATCCGCCGTGGCTCTGCCTTTGATTTCGCCCATCACTCGCACGCCATGAGGCTCGAGGCCTTTGCGCCGCTGCGCCTCTCACCCCCCGCTCCCTCCCCCCCTCCTCCCCCGTCCAATTCTCCACAGCTGATCCGTCGCGGATCTGCATTCGACTTCGCCCATCGTTCTCACGCCATGAGGCTCGAGGCCTTTGCACCGCTGCTCCTGCCCCGGCAGCATGCAGTGAACGACGCCCAGCCGCTGCCCTCGCTGGCCGGGCTGCATGTGGTGGAGGTCACAGCTGCTGCTACCGCTGAGACCTACACCGAGATTGCTTCTGCCCTCAACTCATTTGCCGAAACAATCGCGCCGTGAGTCCCCTTGTGAGATTTATTCAGGTATGTTCGCCCAGCCGCTGCCCTCTCTGGCCGGGTTGCATGTGGTGGAGGTCACAGCTGCTGCTACTGCTGAGACTTACACAGAGAATGCCGCTGCCCTCAACTCATTCGCCGAAGCAATTGCCCCGTGAGTTGATTCTTGCTTAGGCTGTTTCTGGTACCTCGTTTGCCTGATAAGGAATGCCCAGCCGCTGAGTTGATTCTTGCTTAGACTGTTTCTGGTACCTTGTTTGCCTGATAGGAGACTCCCAGCTGCTGCCCTCTCTGGCTGGGCTGCATGTAGGGGAGGTCACAGCTGCTGCACGTAGGGGAGGTCACAGCTGCTGCATGTAGGGGAGGTCACAGCTGCTGCATGTAGGGGAGGTCACAGCTGCTGCATGTAGGGGGGGTCACAGCTGCTGCATGTAGGGGAGGTCACAACTGCTGCATTTAGGGGAGGCCACAACTGCTGTTGCTCTCAGCTCATTTGCTGCCTGGTATGTTTGCCTTATAGGAGACACCCAGCCTCTGCTCTCGCTGGCCAGGCTGCAAGTGGTGGAGGTCACAGCTGCTGCTGCTGCACCTGAGACCTACACAGGTACTGCTGTTGCTCTCAACTCATTCACTGCCTGGTATGTTTGCCTTACAGCGGGTACCCAGCCTCTGCTCTCACTGGCCAGGCTGCATGCGGTGAAAATCACTGCTGCTGCTGCTGCTGCTGCTGCTGCTGCTGCTGCTGCTGCTGCTGCTGCATGCCCTTTCCCGACCAACCCCCCTGCTCCGCCCTCTCGCCCATGCTATTCCCCTCAGGGTGCCTCAGTTACCTTAGAATGTTGCCTGCTGCTGCGTCAACTACCCTGCAGATGATTTCCATTCTCCAAACCACCCCCCATGCCCCCACCATTTTCTCCCTCTGCTCCCCCTTGGTATACCCCAGTTTGGTTCGTCTATCAAAGCCCACCATTCCCCATACCCCTTCACTCTTCCCCTCTTTCCCCCTCTGCCCCCCCTTGCTTTTCCCCAGTTTGGTTCGTCTATCAAAGCCCACCATCTCTGCCGGTCTCTCGCCTGCCGCTGCTTCAACTGTTGCTTTCCCCTCCCAACACCCCATTCCCCATACCCCTTCACTCTTCCCCTCTTTCCCCCTCTTTCCCCCTCTTTCCCCCTCTTTCCCCCTCTTTCCCCCTCTTTCCCCCTCTTTCCCCCTCTTTCCCCCTCTTTCCCCCTCTGCTCCCCCTTGCTATACTCCAGTTTGGTTCGTCTATCCAAGCCCGCCATCTCTGCCAATCTTTCGCCTGCTGCTGCTTTTCCTTTCCCACTCCATTCCCAATGCCCTTTCCCTTTTCCCTTCCATCTCCTTATCAATCTTCCCCTTGCTACTCTCCCAGTCTGGTTCGTCTATCAAAGCCCACCATCTCTGCCGGTCTCTCTCCTGCTGCTGCTTTTCCTTCCCCATCCCATTCTTAATGCCCTTTCCCTTTTCCCTTCCATCTCCTGTGCAATCTTCCCCTTGCTACTACCCCAGTTTGGTCCGCCTATCAAAGCCCACCATCTCTGCCGGTCTCTCTCCTGCTGCTGCTTCAACTGCCGCTGCTGTTTGCCCTGCCTAGGTTCGTGCTGGAGGGATTTCCAAATAGCTTCATGTAAGCATTTGTTATTAAACAGCTTCATTAATGATAATAATAGGTTGACTGCGAATGTTGGTTCAGCCTCGTTGATCTACCGTATTATTCTAATTTCAAATCGCAAGTTTTCATGCTACACACAGCACAGTTCGTTTTCTTCCTGTCACTATTGGACGTCGCATATTTTTGCACATGTGGTCACAACAACTAAAAAACGTTACAAACTGTTCAGTTTAATCTCATTGTTTTATTGCAAATATAAGCTTGCTCCAACAAAAATAAACCTACAAAATTCAGGGGAAAAAACACTCTGCAATCTTATGTTCTGTGGTCGTTTAAATAGTTACAAGTAGTAGTCACCCTGCTTGGACGTGGCTTTCAAATCCTTCAGCTTGCGCAGGATCTGCGTGTAGTACTCCTGCAGGTACTGCTCGAGTGTGGTGGTATCCTTGGGATCCAGCCCCAGCAGCTTGTAGGTCTCCGTCATGGGCGCTGAAAACACCGCATTGCTCGTCAGCACCTGGAGGGTAGGACAGTGGAGAGGTAGGGGAGGGATGGGAGGCATGGCAGGCAGGGTTGGGACCATAATGCACTAGGCCCAGCATCTTGTGCGTCTTGGTGATGGGAGCTGAGAAGTCCACATTGCTGGTCAGCACCTGATGGGAAGGAGGAGAAACGGGCAGAGGGAGGAAAGGCAGAAGCAATTGTGGGGGCTATGATGGTCGCGGGTTGTGCAAGCAAGAGTAGAGCAGGGACAAACAGCAGTAGTTGGAAGGATTTCAAGGCGGATGGTGCAGAGAGGTGCTTGCTTTGTCAACCATTCACAATACCAGATTGCCTGCCACGTCAGCTTACCTCGGAGAACGCCAGCCTGTCAGCCACGTCAGACGTCCACTGGAAGAACTGCATGATCTTGCGGGTCACTTTCAGCACTCCCACCGGCACTGTTGTCACCTTGGCGTCCTGCCCAGCCAGCCGCTCACACAGAGCGATCACCTGCACAGCGGGAGGCACAGGGAGGAGGACGGGAAGTTGGGGATGATTAGAGAGCAGAGAGGGGAGAAAGGGGATGACTAGGGTAAGTCTTCTCGTTCCTGAGAGCAGAGCAGAGCAGCCATGGTCTTGCGAGCCATGTCCTGCAAGTGAACGCCCTCACTGGATTTTGTTTGGCTCTCTACCCTCCCTCTACCCTCTCTTTACGATCTAATTTTATCTCGTCATTTCCACTGTCTCACCTCCTGCGTGGTCCATGCCCGGGGTCCGGCGAGCGTGATGGTCTTACAGTATGTCTTCTCGTTCCTCAGAGAAGCCATGGTCATGCGAGCCACGTCCTGCGAGTCAACGCCCTCACTGCTCACTGTTGAAAAACCTCTTCTCTCTAGGTTTCCCTCTGTCTTTTCCACCATCTTACCTCCTGAGTGGTCCACGCCCTGGGCCCGGCTAGCGCGATGGTTTTGCGGTCATGCGAGCCACGTCCTGCGAGCTGCGCCCTGCGGGGCAATGGCCTCCCTGCTCTGTGTTGAGAAATCTCTACTCTCTAGATTTCCCTTGCTGTTCCCTCCATCTCACCTCCTGCGTGGTCCACGCCCTGGGTCCAGCGAGGGTGATGGTCTTTCGGTAGGTCTTCTCATTCCTCAGCGCAGCCATGGTCATGCGAGCCACGTCCTGCGAGTCGATGTAGGCAATGCGAGTGGTGGCGTCTGTACCCCACACGGATTGCTCCTCCAGGATTGGCACGGCGTATTGGCCAATCAATGCCTGCACAGATAAAAGGAAGAGGAAGGGGGGGGGGGGGGGGGGGGGAAGGAGGGTTGGTGATAATATTGAGAGTCAATGCAGGTGATGCGGGTGGTGGCATATGCACCCCACATTGACTGCTCCTCGAAAATTGGCACCGCGCGTTTCTCTTCAAGGAAAGTGCATCACAATTTGTGTTCATTTTCCCCTACCACATCCGCCTGTTCCCCTAACTTCCGGCAATTCAGCCATGCTTCATGTGCGAGCCCACAGAGCCGTACCTACTTCTATCAACCCGCATTGCGTACCTGCATGGTTCAACAGCAGCCTTTCGTATCGCGCCTGCATGAAGCCACACAGGCGGATGGTGGTGTAGTTGAGCGTGCTCTGTTCGAGGAACTTCTCCGTGCAGCTCTTGATCTCCATCAGCGGCACCTCGCCGTCACACCCACCTACCCTCGCACCCACCCTACCTGCTAGCTTCAACAGCCGCGTTCCGTAACGCACCTGCATGAAGCCGCAGAGGCGGATGGTGGTGTAGTTAAGCGTGCTCTGTTCGAGAAACTTCTCCGTGCAGCTCTTGATCTCCATCAGCGGCACCTCGGGGTGCTGCTCTGACTCGTGGATGGAGAAGAAGAGAAACCGCTGCACGCCCATCGCCTGCGCCGCCTGAATCAGCGCCACCTTGCCGTCCCAGTCCACGGTTCGAATCGGCTCCTCGGGACGCCCCGTCGCGCAGTCAATCACCGTGTGCACGCCGACCAGCGCCGCAGGGAGGGTCTCCGGGCGGGTGAGGTCGCCCTGGTGAGGAAGAGAGGGGAGGAGAGGCAAGGAAAGTGGAGGAAGGGAATGAATTTCCTGTGCGAATGGGGTCCTCGGGACGCCCCGTCGCGCAGTCGATCACTGTGTGCACGCCCACGAGCGCCGCAGGGAGGGTCTCTGGGCGGGTGAGGTCGCCCTGTTGTGGTGGGAAAAGGGAGAGGGAAAGGCCGAGCGAACAACGAAACTCACAGGGACGGCATTAGAGATGACATTCACGAAATTGAGCTCCCATTGACGACATAAGAGTTCGCATTGATGACATTAGACCTTATTATGACAACAGTAGAACTTAAAATCACGAAAAATCTATTCGAGTAAGAGTGAAATGCGAAGTCAGACAAGGCTTTATTTGACGACCGTAGCACCCCATTCACGAAGGAAATCCACAGGCTGTGATCGAGGCCGCATGAGGCAGCAGATTCGAGTTAATTAAGCAATGAAACCTTGCTTGGAGACAGAACTCACATTAACGACCGTTGCACCCCAGTCGCGGAGGAAATCCGCAGGCTGTGGTCGAGGTCGCACGAGGCAGCGAACATCGAAGCCGTCGTCCAGAAGCTTGCGAACGATCTGACGGCCCAGAGTCCCCGTCGCTCCCACTACAAGCACACTCGTTGTACGCACAGGCGTCCCTTGAAACGCGGTTACTGCCGCAGCGGAAGCGGCGGTTACTGGAGGAATGACGGAAGCGGAAACGGAAACGACATTTGTGCGGGGAACTGCCGTTGCGTTGAAACTGCGGGGTTCGCAGGAGAGAGAGACAGCCTGATTCACCAGGTCTCGCGAAGCCAGGCTTCGCAGGGTCGCATTCTTCGCAGAGCTTCGCAGCTCGCTTCCCAGCGACACGGATTTCAGCTGGCAGAACGAAGACGCAGACATTGAGACGGCCATTGCCTTGAGTTGTCTACAAAGATATTCGGGCCTAGACACGCGAGTGAGAGGCCACGAAGGATGTAATGAGACAGGCGAAATAATCTTGCTGTCTACTTGTTGTCTAGCCTTTATATGAGAGGCGTGATTCTAGCAGAAATCAAATGGCCCTTAGGGATGGGCAAGAAGGGAACGCCTATAACTTTTTTAACAAAAACTTAGCAACCTCAGAAAGAAATCCTCAGAAATCAAAGTTTTTACTAAAATCCAGGACTACTGAATCCTCACATGGAAGTGTTGAAGACAATGTGGAGCTTCCAAGGTTCGTGATTGATCGGACGGCCAGAGTGCCACCGAGATGGTGTCCGAATCTGCTCCACACCAACTTTCCGAAGGACAACTGGAAACACACCACGCGTGGGATGGAGCTCTCAAGGTGACACGCAGTCCCGACCTACGTGGATAGTGTCAACGCCCGTCTAGTTCGACTGGGTATCAGGGGAGATTCTGACGTGGCGTTCGTGAATCCCTGAACCTCCACGTTCGCGGACGCGTTACCAAAAGCAATTGTAGCCGACTCGCGAATCTCCAATACCGTACCTGTGTAGGAGTTCCAAGAATTCCCGATACAGACAGCCCATTCAGCATAGTGCGGCAACTGTTTAAAAATGGGGCACTACAAGTCCAACTAATTATATGTACCAGAACAAATAAAACCTGGGACTGTCTGGTCAGGTGTCTCACAACCTAGCAGGCATGCGGCTCAATCTCACACGTGCTATTCCCCCTTGTAGGATTGATGAGGAAAGAACAGTTGCTTCTACTTGAGTAGGCTAAGTGATGAGGAGGATAAACGGTTACGGTACTTCTTGAATGAAATTGCCGGCAAACAAACAACATCCCTGGTGGGATACATCGGCTTTAATCAACTGGTTTGTGACCTAGCAACACACCTAGGTGCATGGGGGAGCCTGAGGGTCCACAAGTGGTGCGGAGGCGGAGGAGGATGGCGAAGGAGAGAGAGGGGATGAGGACGAGGAGGGGGAGCGAGAAGGGAAGCGAATGGGGCAGGTGGCAAGGCAGGGAGTGAGCAGCACAGGGTCGGTGTCTCTAGGGGGGGCATGCACTCCGAACTTGAACTGGTGGTAGGGGAGAAAAGAGGGGAGGGTGGGGAGAAAAATGAAGGACATGGGGTGAGAGAAACAAACGCTGATGCTTTTTAAGCAAGGCAGGGAGCGAGGAGCACAAGGTCGGTGTTCCGAGGGGGGGACATGCACGCCAAACGTGAATTGATGAGCAAGGAGGAGAGGGGAACGGGAAGGGGGAGGCAGGGAGGGCCATGAGCAGCGGCGTGCCCACGCCTGCTTAACCAACCCTAGCACTTACTCAGAAACCTACAACCTGGTAACCCTCTCCTCCCACCCGCTCAGGATCCCAATCAAGAGGTGACTTATGAGTCGACTCAAAAGTCAACCAGCTCCCCCACCCACCCAGGATCCCCGTCACCACAGTCACCTGGCAGCTGAAGTCCTCAAAGTTGGGCTCCACAAGCAGTGGCACCCCCATGTCACCTCCAACGGGTAAATCAGTTCCTAGTAACCCTGTAACCAGCTCCCCCTATCCACCCTCCCGGTATCCGAGGCAGTTACCTCGCAGCTGAAGCCCTCGAAGTTGGGCTCCAAGAGCAGCGGCACGACCGTGCACTGAACCAGCATAAGCAGCAAAACCTAATTAACCCGGTAACCTGATAACCTGGTAACCTGGTAACGCGGTAACCCGAGTCACTCACCTCGCAGCTGAAGTCCTCAAAATTGGGCTCCATGAGCAGCGGCACGCCCATGTCTTGAAACATAAACGCCTGCGTTGAGGGGAAGGGGAGGGGAAGGGGAGGGGAAGGGGAGGGGAAGGGGAGGGGAAGGGGGGGGGGAAGGGGGCATAGGTGTGAGGGGAGAAGAAGGTGCATGAACAGCGCGAGTTGGGCTCCATGAGCAGTGGCACGCCCATGTCCTGAAACATAAACGCCTGCGTTGAGGGGAAGGGGGGCAATTGAGGACAGGTGGGGGGAAGTGGGGCCAAGTGGGGACAAGTGGTTGAAGTGGGGGAAGTGTGGGGGGGGGAGAGGGGGAGAGAAGGGGAAAAAGGGGGAAAAAGGGAGGGGGAGGGGGGGGTACATGCAGTACTTATTTTCTGGGCTCTATCCATCAGCAATGGCACCCCAAGTCCTGAAAAATAAGGCAACATGAACTACGGGAGTGACAGAAGCAACAGACTCCGTGGGAGGTGGGGTGGATGATCGGATGGGGGAAGGGAGCATGGGCATAGCTGCGAGCACATACCTGCGTGGGCATAGCTGAGTGGGCATACCTGCGTGGGCATAGCTGAGTGGACATACCTGCGTGGGCATCTTGCATGTGTGAATGCAGCTGCCAGCACACTTAGACTCGTCCAGAAACTTGCACTTCTCTATCTTCACCTGATGATGAGGGGAAGGAGAGGAGAGGAGGCGGGAGGAACAGAACAAAGAGCAACAGAGGGGTGTTGGGGGGATGCACACACCACCGTGCGCACACCACCGTGCGCACACCACCGTGCGCACACCACCGTGCGCACACCACCGTGCGCACACCACCGTGCGCACACCACCGTGCGCACACCACCGTGCGCACACCACCGTGCGCACACCACCGTGCGCACACCACCATGCGCACACCACCGTGCGCACACCACCGTGCGCACACCACCGTGCGCACACCACCGTGCGCACACCACCATGCGCACACCACCATGCGCACACCACCATGCGCACACCACCATGCGCACACCACCATGCGCACACCACCATGCGCACACCACCATGCGCACACCACCATGCGCACACCACCATGCGCACACCACCATGCGCACACCACCATGCGCACACCACCATGCGCACACCACCATGCGCACACCACCATGCGCACACTTTGATTCGTCCAGGAATTTGCACTCGTCTATCTTCACCTGGTGGTGGGAAGAACAAGAGTGCGGGAGGAACAGAAGAAAGAGCAACAGAGGGATGTTGAGAGGGACGTTGAGGGGGATCTGTGCACACTTTGATTCGTCCAGGAATTTGCACTTGTCTATCTTCAACTGTAGAACGAGAGGGTGGGCAAGAGAGACACTGGAGCAAGAGGGGCACGCGTGGTCACACTTGGTCACACGTGATCACCCGTGGTCACGCTTGGTCACGCTTGGTCACGCTTGGTCACGCTTGGTCACGCTTGGTCACGCTTGGTCACGCTTGGTCACGCTTGGTCACGCTTGGTCACGCTTGGTCACGCTTGGTCACGCTTGGTCACGCTTGGTCACGCTTGGTCACGCTTGGTCACGCTTGGTCACGCTTGGTCACCTCACACTGGGTTCACACTCGGCCTCCTCCACTCGAACTTGCAATTCTCCACCTTCACCCGGTGATGTGGAGGGAAGGGGCGAGCGAAAGAGACACAGGAGAGCGAACAGCAGAGGAGAGAACGACTCACATCCCTGAGCCCTGTTTCCTGCCAACTTCCAACCAAATACTCACCACCGTTGCCGGACCCATGGGCCACTGGTGTATGCCTGGCGTGGGCACTGAGCACATGCCTGGCGTGGGCACGCACCTGTGGGCACGCACCTGTGGGCATGCACCAGTGGGCACGCACCAGTGCCCAGGCCAGGCATGTTCCTGGCCCACTAGTGGTCTAGTGTCATACCCACCACACTCACCCCCGAGCACTGCTTTCTGCCGTTCTCCATCTCAATGTCAACCACCTTGCTGGGCCCCATGAGCCACTGGCAGGCATGTGGGCATGCAGACCACCCGCGCAATAACCATACCCACACACACACAACACACTCACCCCCGACCGCTGCTTGCGCCCGTCCTCCAACTCAATCTCCACCACCTTGCTGGGCCCCATGAGCCACTGGCAGGCGAGGTGCGTCACCCACGCTGGGAGGGAGGGAGGGAAAAGGGAAAGAGGTAGGGAGGGCGAACATAAAGAATACAGGAGCACGAGCATGAGCCATGTGGTGGGCCCTGTGAGCATGCTTCCCTCTCCACCACCGTGCTGGGCCCCGTGAGCCACTTGCAGGCGAGGTGCGTCACCCACGCTGGGAGGGAGGAAGACAAAGGGGGAGAGGGAGGCAGAGAAAGCGTACAGGACACAGGTCAAAATTCCCAACCATGTGATAGCAATCTGTATACCATTTGTACCGATCTCCACCACTGTGCTGCGCCCCATGAGCCACTGGCAGGCAAGGTGTGGTGGTCACGATGTGGTGGTCACGATGTGGTGGTGGTCACGATGTGGTGGTGGTCACGATGTGGTGGTGGTCACGATGGGGTGGTGGTCACGATGTGGTGGTGGTCACGATGGGGTGGTGGTCACGATGTGGTGGTGGTCACGATGTGGTGGTGGTCACGATGTGGTGGTGGTCACGATGTGGTGGTGGTCACGATGGGGTGGTGGTCACGATGTGGTGGTGGTCACGATGGGGTGGTGGTCACGATGGGGTGGTGGTCACGATGGGGTGGTGGTCTCGATGGGGTGGTGGTCTCGATGTGGTGGTGGTCTCGATGTGGTGGTGGTCTCGATGTGGTGGTGGTCTCGATGTGGTGGTGGTCACGATGTGGTGCAGCACACATCGTCCTTACCGCACAGCACAGCAGCAACCCGGCCGCCCCACAAGGGAGCAAAGAACCTCTTGAAGAGCGGCAGAAGGGTCTAGAAGAGCAAAGTCCTATGAGCACATTCCTCTCAGCCCTTACCACAGAGCACAGCAGCGACTCGGCCGCCCCACAAGGGAGCAAAGAACCTCTTGAAGAGCGGCAGAAGGAAGGGCGGGAAGTGGGCTCGTAGAATGGTGACCTGTCGGGCGACGGGAGAGGGGGATGGGTGATAGAGAGGGAGTAAGTGAGAGAGGCAGAAGGAAGGGCAGCAGAGAGGAACCTCTGAAGGGCGGGAAGTGAGCTCGTAGAATGGTCACCTGGTGGGGGGCAGGACAGGGGGATGGGAGAAAGAGAGCGTAAGTGAATATGCATGTGACTATAACGAGCAGCACACACAGCTCACCGCGTCCTGCTCGGTCTTCCTGCCATCCGAGTGCATCAGCAGCAGCATGTGTATGTGACTATAACATATCATTCATGCTCATGTGATGGTCATGAGACGCTGATGTGATGGATGCTCATGTGACTATAACATGTCAACTCACTCATGTTCATGTGATGGTCATGTGACGGTGTTGTGATGGATCCTCATGTGACAATAACATGCCATTCTCATTCATGTTCGTGTGATGGTCATGTGACGCTAATGGCATGCATTGACTCACCGCGTCCTCCTCGCTCTTCTTTCGATCCGCGTGCATCTGCAGTAACGCCCGCGCCTCCTCTATCATCCCATCGTACCCCTCTTTAGGCGAGCTCCATCCCACCACCTGAAGCAGTGGTTGAACAGTGGGAGAGAGGAATGGAAATAGGGAGGGTTATGCGCAGAGGGGCTACATCTGCAGTAGCGCCCGCGCCTCCTCTATCATCCCATCGTACCCCTCCTTGGGCGAACTCCATCCCACCACCTGAAAACAGAGCGAACGGCGGGATAGGGGGATGGAAGTGGGTCAGGGGAAGGGAGGAAGTGGGGCGAACTGAAAGGCGAGGGAGACTCAGGTGAGGGCGAGGGCGAGGGCGAGGGCGAGGGCGAGGGCGAGGGCGAGGGCGAGGGCGAGGGAGAGGGCATCAGCTGCAGCTTTCCAGCTCGCTCTCACACACGCCAGACTCTGTTCTCCCCTTCACATTTCAAGGTCCCCATTTAAAATCGCAGCTCACTCCTCGTCAAAGAGAATGAGTTTCGAGACAACTCAAAACACCCGAACGCACCAGATAGACCCGACTTGCTCTCACGAGCCTCATGCTTAAAAAAAAAAAACAGAAACACCCGGCTTGCTCTCTCACACGGTCACACCTGTAACTCAACTACCCACTTTCGCCCACATTCGCATCACATTCGCATCACAGCCCGCTCCTCACCTCTCTCAATCCCTCTTCACCTCCCCCCACCACTGCTCACATCCACAAGTTTTTGCCTGAAGTTCGCGAGCGCGAGCCGACCGAACGGTCCCGGATTGTACGGCGGACTCTCCGTCACTGCTCCTGCTGCTGCTTCGCCAGCTGCGCCACTCGCGCTGTTCACAGCAAGGCTTCGTCTGGTCTTAGCGGATGGCCGTGAATCAGCGGGCTTTCCGGCGGAAAATGCGGCCGATGCCGTCCGCGGCGATCCGAAGGCCGTCGCGACGACGACTCCCCGTCGTTGACTCGTCGCACAGTAACCGGCCATCGTTCGTGGTTTTCGCACATGCGGTTCGCACATTGTAATAGACATTGATGATCGCGACAGGATTGGCCGGCGACTACTGGACACTACACTATTCGCTGCGGACGGACGGCATGCGACGTGCGACGCCATGGCGAATGCAGCGACAACTGGATGCAATTGGGAGCAGCAACGTATCCCTGGAAATGCGACGAGGTCACCAACTATAATGCGAGATATGCACACTACTAGCAGGCGGTCTTGTTTCGAAACTAAACTTACAAATAGGGATTGCAATAGGAGCTAACATATATTCTCCCAATGACACGGGGAAAGACTGGAGTTAGGAGCACCTACACCACAAGTTAAAAGTCTTCTGAAAATATTCGGTCTTCCCGCAACCACAAGTTTAGGAAGGGGGGTGAACCCGACAACCAACCAGGTTGGATTGCGATGCGGATTTTCCAAGCCCAAGGAAGGGGTGGTAGAAAAGTAGTCCCAATAATGGGAGAACATTTTCCGTAGTGCGCGTCGCATGACACGAGTGCTGCTTGGGATTGTAATTGTGGGATTCAGAAACTAGCTGCAGCTGCCAGTTCCAGACGTGTCGTGCTTGCGGGTATTGGATGTCGCAGCCAATCACACATTCTGCACCACCTGTCCAAAAGCTACAATCGACCATTATGCTGACGGCTTGAAAAGCTCACCGTCAGATTGCTTTTACCATAACCAATAGAAGCACGCAGCGGCAGATCACCCACCGTAGAACTCACGGTGATCGTGTCGCACAGCTCGCCGAATGGTTCGTTTCAGACGCATTTCAAGCGTTGACACTAGCGTCGCAGGCAGAGGTTCCTGCCGTTCTGGAACGCGACCTTAGAGTTCGTCACCGACATGCTACGTCACACTTCGGCCCAGCACATTTCTGGCCACATGCAACCACCGTCCCTGCCCTGACTCGCAGTACGTACTCGTTATGCCGATTTCGGTGGTTCGACTGGGGTCCATATAACGCCACTTCATGTTTTGCATTAACCGAGCTTTATCTGGTTCTGGAATCAATACATTCCGCAACACACAACTGATTCACATAGCCGTCAACCAATGTCTTCAATGTCCAACAAGCTACCACCAGTCGACCCTCCACAAACCTTTCTTCCCCCCATCCCACTCGTACTACCATTACCAGTGCCACAAGTTTTGCTCGACAAAACCCGTTGGGTCCCTACAACCCTGCTTCTCGCCCCTCCTGCAACTTCTTCCTCTAAATTGGAATCTCCACTCTTTAGGGCTTTAACTGCCAACTGGCCGCATGCACCTGCAATGTCATTCCCTTTCTCGCGCCTGATGGTGGTTCGTAACCCGTAGCTCTCTCGTAACACCTTCTGAAACGCCTCGGCAGCCTCGGGAGTGGATGGCCGGTAATCTGCTACCACCTCCGTGTGATTGTATGGAATGAGATTCACCACCTGGAAGAACGTAGAAGAAAGGGATTACAGTATCGCAAGGTAAACACTTTAGACGTTCCCATAACTCCCTCGTAACACCTTCTGAAACGCCTGTGCAGCCTCGGGAGTGGATGGCTGATAATCAGCTACCACGTCCGTGTGATTGTATGGAATGAGATTCACCACCTGGAAGAACAAAAGTACAGGATTTCCATGGGTTATACACGGTGACATAAGGTCAAAGCTCCGGACGCTCTCAGAACCGTCAAGCAACAGCAGGAGTACAAGGCTGAAACTGAAACATGCAGGGCCTGCTTTTGAATCGACTTAGAAGCAATTTCAGAACCGTCAAGCAACAGCAGGAGCATAAGGCTGAAACTGGGACGTCCAGGGAGTGATAAAGGGCAGAGATTGAAGGAACTGCGAGTGTCGGAAATATAATGAAGTATTTACCACGTTGCGTGATTGCAGCAGCAGCCCCAGCTCATGTGCTACAGTGATGCTGTCATTGACCCCTCCTAACAGGATGTACTCGATAAAGACTCGCCTGCCACTGCACACACATGGAAAGGGAAGGTTACAATGTGGTCATTTAATTTTGATCACACCCAAAAAGAAAAAAGAAAAAAAGAAAAAAGGTTTCTTGGGCCTGTTAAACAGAATGTACTCCATATAGGCTCGCCTCCCACCGCACAAAACGTGCATACCTTTCCTCATCTACATGCGTGTTCACTGGATCTTACCTGTCCTTTTGGTAATCGTCAACTGCTTGCATGAGTTTTTCTAGGGGGTAGGCGCGAGCTGATGGGACGATGGAGACACGGAGGGGTTGCGAGGGGGCGTGGAGGGACAGAGCGAGGTTGACTGAGGGGAAGGCAGATGCGAAGGAACGGATATGCGGCACCACACCCACCTGATGGGGTGGAAGGAAGGAGTGGGGGCAGGAGAAATTGCTTGCTTAACGAGCGCAAGCAGGCAAGTCATGGGATGGGACTAAGGTGGAGTCCGTAATGGGGTTAAGAGACATGTGAAAACCATGAGATGTTTTAGAGGCTCCACACATGTGGTGGTCCTATATGTGATAGCCGTGAGGGTTGAAAGCAAGGTAGACGTGGGAGTGGGACCTCCGCGTGGCATGGATGGTTGATGCGTGCAAGCAAGGCAATGACCCACAGTGGAGACGGTGATGTGGTTGGCCGACATGTGGAAGCCGTGAGACATGACTACTGTGCGTGCATCTGATACATGTGTGCAAGCCAGGCAAGGCATGGAACCTACTGTGGAGACGGTGATGTGGTTGGGCGACATGTGGAAGCCGTGTGGAGCCACCATGAGCTCTACTGCTGCCTTCACTGCCGCATGGTTGTTGAACGGCTCTCCCATGCCCTGAAGGGAAACCAAGTCGCAGGGGAGAAGGGAGAAAGGAAAATGAGGCGAGGAGGAGGGACAGATAGGCCCACTGGGAGGTCCCGTGAGGAGCCATCATCAGCTCTACTGCTGCCTTTACTGCCGCATGGTTGTTGAACGGCTCTCCCATGCCCTGGCAGGAATGAAGGAAGCAAGGGAGGTTGACAGGGAGGTGAGGAGGGGCGGTAGATCTGCCCACTTGCAGGTGCCGTGTGGAGCCACCATGAGCTCTACTGCTGCCTTCACTGTCGCATGGTTGCTGAACGGCTCTCCCATGCCCTGGAAGAAAAGCAAGATGCGGGAGAGAATGGATGAAGGGAGATTGGGTGAGGAGGAGGGACAGATAGGCCCATAGGGAGGTGCCGTGTAGAGCCACCATGAGCTATACTGCTGCCTTTACTGCCGCATGGTTGTTGAACGGCTCTCCCATGCCATGTAAGGAGTGAAGGAAGCAGGGGAGGTTGACAGGGAGGTGAGGAGGAAGGCTCTCCCATGCCCTGCAGAAAAGCAAGATGCGGGAGAGAATGGATGAAGGGAGATTGGGTGAGGAGGAGGGACAGATAGGCCCATTGGGAGATAGCATGAGGAGCTACCATGAGCTCTACTGCTGTCTTTACTGCCGCATGGTTGTTGAAAGGCTCTCCCATCCCCTGCCATGGCAGGAAAGGCACGGAGGAAAAGAGGTGCAGCTAAAGCAGAGACGCACAGGGCAGCATGCATGAATGAATGCACCTAATAAGAATCCAGCATGCATAATGCATGCACCTAATAAGAATCCAGCATGCATGAATGAATGCACCTAATAAGAATCCAGCATGCATGAATGAATGCACCTAACACGAATCCAGCATGCATGAATGAATGCACCTAATAAGAATCCAGCATGCATAATGCATGCACCTAATAAGAATCCAGCATGCATAATGCATGCACCTAATAAGAATCCAGCATGCATGAATGAATGCACCTAATAAGAATCCAGCATGCATGAATGAATGCACCTAATAAGAATCCAGCATGCATGAATGAATGCACCTAATCAGAATTCAGCATGCATGAATGAATGCACCTAATAAGAATCCAGCATGCATAATGCATGCACCTAATAAGAATCCAGCATGCATGAATGAATGCACCTAATAAGAATTCAGCATGCATGAATGAATGCACCTAATAAGAATCCAGCATGCATAATGCATGCACCTAATAAGAATTCAGCATGCATGAATGAATGCACCTGATAAGAATTCAGCATGCATGAATGAATGCACCTAATAAGAATCCAGCATGCATAATGCATGCACCTATAGTGAACACAGCGTACCATGAATACAACATTCCTAATGGGAGCTCGTTGCAAGGCCAGCAGCAGCTGCTCTGCGATCTCCCCAGCTGTGAGGCTGGTGGGGCGAGACATGGTGCCCGTGGCACAGAAAGAACACCCCATGGCACACCCCACCTGCAATCATCCATGCATACACGCACGGGTCGATAGCGGAAGCATGAGTTGAAAAGAAAGAGTCATGCAAAAAGGAGGCATGTCGTTTGTGGCACAACAGAAACACTCCAAGGCAGGGCACACCCCACGTGCAGTTATGAAAGCATCTGGGGAGCAAAAATAGATGGCTGAAATGGGAGGAACTGCGTGGGAGGACAAGCCAATCGCACCTGAGAAGACACACACAAAATAGCCCTCTCTCCGCTGGGCTGTTGTCCCCCACAGTAGCGTCCCTCTGACGCATCTCAACTCAATTGATAATCACCAGGCAAGTAAAATGAACTGGGCGGGCAAAGGATAATCGCACCTGAGAGGATACACACAGCGTGGCTCTCTCTCCCCCAGGTCGTTGTCCCCCATTGTAGCGTCCCTCTGACGCATCGTAACGCATAATCACCGCTTCTACAGTCAACCCGTCCTGTAGCCTTATCAATAGTTTTATCGTCTCGCCATCCTGTGATGTTTTCTCCTCCACGACTTCCGACGTGCTGGCTACAAACGAATCTTGCAGTAGCGAGTACAGAGGCTGGGGCAGCTTCCGAATGTCAGTCCATGAGCCCAAGCCACGTGTTCTGATGACGTGGCTGGATAAGCAATCGGGATAAGACAGACGGACAGCGGTGGAAACGAGGTACTCATTAGCGAGTATGGAGACTGGGGCCCGGAATGTCAGTACACGTACCCAGGTCTGTGTGATTTGACGACATGACTGGGTACGGGAAGACGGGAAGACCAACAAACGAACACAAGAGCGAAGTGCGAACACAAGGAAGCAAGTAGACGAAACACCGAGCTCTAAGACGTCTCGCAACAACTCACTTGTCCATACTGTGCGACTCATTCATACCGTGCTGCTACAGCAGTGGCGTTTCTAGAATCGGCCGGAACACAACCAGCGGTTTAAGAGGAAAAAACCCGTTCATTGTCCCATCCATTCATCTATTTGACTCTATCAGCCTGTGCTGTGTAATTCTCTGAACCCTTTTTGAGGCGCCTCAATAGTTTTTTTCTGATCCCCTGCGTCCAACTGATAACATCGGTATCAACCAGTGCTGCTGACCTGATAATTGTCCGGCTGTGCGACTCTTTCAGTCCGTGCCGCTGCAGCAACGACGCGAGCGACGCTTCGTCGAGCGCCGATAACGGAGCGAGCACGCGACGGGCTACCATGATTGGAATCGTGTGGATTCGCGAACTGTGTCCACTTGAAAGGGCACGGAATAATGGCGGACAGAAGTTACTTCAGGAAGAACATAGCCTAAGAACTATATGAGCTACCACGAGATCACTACACACACGAGGCGCCGCTCGGTTTCGCTATCCAAGTTGATTGTGCTGCTGTAGGAAATACGTAGTATTGCCATGGAATTGGAAGCGCCATGAATATCCATGCAGTAGCGAAGCTAGGCAAACAAGCAAAAACGTTCCGCTTAATATCATGTTTCGATCTAACACTGTACATGTACATCTATTTTTCACCATATGAACTGCTATGTACAAGAATGCCCAGGCCTTTCCACGAATCAGTGTTATCCCAGAACATGGTGTGGTGCTGTCTGCAGCATCCTCTTCAACACATCCATTCCAAACGAGTCTGACATGCTGCTCAGGCAGATAAAAGGATGTACAGACACAAATAACAACAGAGATGGTGAGAAAGGTGCCTGAAATAAAAGAATTTGTAGGTGACTGAGATACTTGGGGACAAGGAAGAACAATCCTGAATTTACACACCTTGGGACGGAAATTTCAAAGGGGAAAGAGACGAGAGAGGACGTGAGGACAGGAGGTAGATGGTCTCTCTTCTCATTGGCCATTGTGAGAATCGAAAGCAGCGCCTCCCTCACATCCGCCTCTAGCTGTGTAATGCGCTGCTGCTGCTGCTGCTGCTGCTGCTGCTGCTGCTGCTGCTGCTGCTGCTGCTGCTGCTGCTGCTGCTGCTGCTGCTGCTGCCGCTGCCGCTCCTGCCCCTGCTGGCCCTGCTGTTGGTGCTGCTGCCATGCGACTGACATGCCAGTAGCAGGCCTGGATGGCGCCGCAGTGTTGGCGAAAGCAGCATGAGAACCGGTGGGGGAAAAAGAGTGTGATGGGGATGGTGAAGGGGATGGCAGTGTCCCACCTGTGGAGGGGGCAGTGGTGGTGGAAGCAGTGGTGTGTACTGCACTGGTGTGTGCAGGAGAGGAGGAGGAGGAGGAGGAAGAGGAAGAGGAGGAGGAGGAGGGCTGGCCAGAAGCACTGCTTGTAGGGGAGGTGAGCAGAGAGACAGGAATAATCCACTGCTCCCATGTGATCTTATCTGATCCTAGGCTCAATCGGGCGGCACTCGCACTCAGCCATGTTGCTGCTGCGTCCTTCCTTGTGCTGCCTCCACCACTGCTGCCACTGCCGCCACCACCGCTGCTGCTGGCGCTGCTGGTTTTGCTGCTGCTTCCGGATTTTGTGCCACCGGATGACGTGGCTGATGAGCTGGAGCTTGTGATTGGACGGCGCTTCTCAAAGAAAGAAAGGCAGATCTGGTAGAGCAGGGGGCGGGGAGGAGACAGGATAGAATGACGGAAGGATGGTGCAGGAAGAAGGCTATAATGACATGAAAGCGCATGCATGCGGGGAAGAAAATCCTTTGTCAAGCAGACAATAATGTTTCAACTTTTAAGATGCAGCAGTACACCCACCTGTCCCTTCTTGGTGGGGTTCTTTTCAAGCCATAGACTAAACTGGCCAATCTTCTCCTCTATTTGTCTCTCCACCTCAGCATCCCCGCACTGCACCTGGAGAAGGGAAGAAGCAGCAGACGATAAGTGCAACAGATTGGGATGGAAGTAAGGAGACCACAGGTACAACAGTAGAACAAGGAGCACACATCGGCGTAGAATGGAAGTGCAATAGTAAGGAAAGCAACACAATTAGCAGGGACAAGCTCACATAGGTGATATCGAAGAGCTGTGAGTCGATGCTCTTGGGTCGCACGAGACCCAGTGCCCGATGGAACATGATGGTGTGGAGCAGACCTGAAGGGAAGGGGAGGAAAGAAAGAGGATTCTGTGTTTGAGATGCCTGAAAATCCGAGCCTACGGGAGCATGATGTGGTGGAAATAAGCTGGGGAGGCTGAGAGGAAGGGATGGAGAAGCGAGAAAGGAGATGGAAAAGAGGGAGAGTACGGAGCAACTCACATCGTAAGACCTCACGGATTTGATAATGCTCGAGCAACTGTCGGAGAATGACGTCCATGCAGGTACATCGGCCATGGAGGGAGGGCACACGCACATGCACAGACAAACTTGAACACAATACACATCGAGAAAAATAGTATCGGCAGGAAGATTCTTGATGAAAGGTAGGAACGGGACGCGAAACCACAAAAAAAGACCTAGAGAACAGGCGTGAATTTTGAGAAGCACGACCTTTTCACAATAACGTTCACCCTGAAAGCATAGTGCTACGAACCGCGAGCGTGTGAACCTGGCTTTTGAAATACTCTTTCGAAAAAAGCTACGGTCAGTTCTTTGTGAAGCAAGACTCTCTGCCATCACCCACCAGCTCTTTCAGCTCAAACACTTCGCAAGTCATGACTCAGCCAAAAACCGTTGCACAATTCCGCATACGCGAATGCTGAAATTTAAAAGCTACAGCGACTGAACTGGCTACGACGAGACGTCGAAAAGCTCCCCTTGCCTTTCCGCGAGTATGCGAGACTTCAGGGGTGAGGATACTAGTCTGACATGAGAAGTTGTGGGGTGGCGAGGAAAAAAGGTGGGAAAAGAATGAAATGTACGCGTTATGAGACCTAAGTATTCCTGGAAAGTATTTTGTCTTCGATTCACACTCGTGTACCAGCGTCTTGATATGTTATGGTGAGCAATTTCTTTTTAGGGTTCCTTTCCGTAACGGCATTCCCGTGTAGGTGGGAGGGGGGTGACAGGACACTGGGGCATCACAATCGGCCAGCCACCCACGACGCGCGCCATCCCAGTACTTCAGGCGAGTCGCGGTTCAGTTGATGCAACCCCTTCATTCTCGCCCTAGTTTGGGTAAAATTTCAGAAGCACGTCATTGATATCCGTCTCAATTTGAAGCGTACTATTCTCCTCGCCTTCTCGCCCCAAGATAGAGGTTAGTTTTGAACAGAACAATCTGCCCGATCACCCTGGAGCACGAATACACGGAAATTTTGCTCACATTCTGACACCACCATTCCCGCCAATTGTACTTGCCCCAAGGGAACCCTCCAACGGTCACATTCTACAATCCCCCATGCCATCACTTCACGAGCCAGTGAGCATCCTCCCACGCAGCTGCCTCATCCACGGTCATTGCCCATCCTCGTTCCTTCACCTTCCCTGAACAAGCTTCCTCGCCAAGACTGTAAAGTATCGGCACGTTTCCTTAGTTTCCTCCTAGCCATCAGGGCTGCGTCCTTGACCTCAATTTTCTCTTCTCCTCTTTCTTGTGCACTTCTTTTCCTCCGAAGTGACGTCTCCTGTGCGTAGGGCTAGTCGTGAGGCTCAGCAACGATAGTTCGTTAGCCTCATCAATTCGTTCGGCAAGCTGCCACATGCAAAGAACACTCAAACAGTAGAGACGACTGGGGAAGTCTTGATGAATAATTATCCAATCAAGTAACTCGCATAGCTGCATCGGATGATTAATCGCTCAACGCCTACGCGTCAAGGGAAGACACCAGCCATTTATTATTTTTAGTATCAGCCTTTCTCGTCTCTGGAGCATCTTTCCCCCGAGCCCTCCGAGAACATCAGATCTCCAGATCTGACAGCGTGTAATTTATCGCACCAGTGTGAGAGTATGACCATTAGCACACAGAACATGCGCGCCGAAGTAGACTACGACGCGCAATAGCAGAATGGGTTTGTCTATAGATGATGCTGTTGCGACAGAAGTCGCAACGACAGCAGCATCGGGGTATTGCACATGCATGAACAATAGACAGAGATGCACAGAAGGTCGATCAAAATGGCAGGCGCGGCGGACGAAACACGCACATACTTTATTCGCACCGCACGAACATCGCCTACGTGCGCACCCGATGCTGAGAGCTCGGCTAGTATTATCACCGGCCCTGTTGGTGCTCTTTATCTGTGCATGCCTTCCAAACGTGTCGCTATTACCGAGCGCAGATGCCGTTCGATTTTCGGGTAAAAATTACGCGCCGTGCGGCGTGTCGGGAAACTACTCCGTGGTGGGTTTCAGGGGCGCGTTCACCCCTCTGCATCCGCGCGTTCAGCTGTCGGCGCTCGTGACGGTGTATGACGACTGCTACCTCGCTCTCTCCTCGCTCTCGTGAGTTCACTGCAACCGATCCATTCCCGCGGCCCTCCCACTCCTTTCCGCTCGCACGTTAGTCTCTTCGCAAGCATCTCCCCGCAAAACTCCTTTTACAGAAGTTCCCTCCCGAACTCACTTTCCACCTTCGTCTTTCTCCCCCCCATTCCCTTCTCTTCCAGATTGAAATCAGTCAACAGCACGCCCTCTCTCTCCCTCTGGGGGGGAATAGCGGGCGACGATCCATTCTCCTACGCCTCCCCCCTCGATCCCGCCCTCGCCTCCCTCACCCCCGCCTCCGCGTCCCCTCTCCTCGCCGTTAACATCGGCGCCCAAGGCCGCACGTGGGATAACATACACGTTCTCTACCTCGTCACCACCACTCCCGCGGGGGTCTTACAGAACATCCTGGCTCAGCTGCAGCTGCCCAGGCGACTTACCCGTGGCGGGGAATCAGGTTCCAGCGGCAGTGGTGGCGGGGGGAAGGATGTGCTACCAGGAAGCGCAACGGAAGCTTCCGAGGGCCTGCGGAAGCAGGTGTTGAAGTATGCGAAAGAGAATCGGTTGCTGGCGCCGCCGCCGCCGGTCATGCCGCCGCCGCCCCGCCGGTTCCGCCTCCCCCTCCGCCCGTGGCGTCCCCCGCGTTGGGGTTCGTGAACTGCGTCACTGCGAAGAAGGGCCGACTGAACATGTAGGTCGCGACGAGTGGTCGATTAGTCAATTAATGTCTAACTTGTCTTCCGTCGTTAAAGCCCATCCGAAAGCTTATCTTTGTCATCCCTCCCCCACGTTCCTCCCCCGTCGCGCAACCGCCCCTCCACTATCCCCCCTTCCTCCTCCGCAGCTACTGGCGCATGGTGGGCGATCCCATAAACGGCATGGCGGTGGAGTTTGGGTTGGAGGGCAAGGTGCCTGACAACAGCTGGATGGCGCTGGGCCTGTCTGGTAACCAGTCGCAAGCGGACATGCACAGCAGCGACATCGCTGCAACAGGAATCTTCTCCTCGTCCTCCACCAGCAGCAGCAGCAGCAGCAGCAGTAGCAGCGGCAGCAGCAGCAGCAGCAGCAGTGTTGCTAGTAGCAGCAGTTTTGGTAGCGGTGCTAGCGGCAGTGGTGGGAGTGGGGCGCCTGATGCGTTTGCAACGGATTTCTACGTCACGGCGCTGGAGGCGTGTGAGCAGATCGCAGGAGGATACGTGGGCGTGTGTCCGGTAAGTCCCCTTGTTGAATCAAAACCCTTTGAGGCGATGCTCTGCTGGGCTCCTCTCTCTCCCTGAACATCTTGGTTTCAGGCACCTAAAAAATCCGCCCTCCCCCGCCCTTCTCTCTCCCCCCCATCTCCCACCCTCCGCGCTCCTGCTACTACCCCCCAACAGGACGCGTTGCTGGGCTCCTCTCCCTCTCTGAACAACGTCAACCTCACGCTCGCTGCACGCCAAGCAGACGTCTCCTTCGTCCGCTTCCGCCGCTCCCTCGCCCTCTCCACGGATCCCCTCTTTGACCGCCGATTCGATATAAGCTTCCCCTCTGCAGTCCCCAACAACACCGACCTCTCCCGCCCGCTGCTCTTCATTTTCGCCACGGGACCGCTTCTCCCGTCCTCCACCCCCTCGCTGCCGCAGCTCCTCCCACACGCCGCCTCTGCTGCGTTCTTTTCCGGTTCCATTAACATCACGTTGAATGCTGCCAAAGCCACCAACTCCTGTGAACCGCTCTGGAATACACCGGAGCTCAGCTATCCGCCTCTGCCGCCCGGTTTGCTGCCCTCGCCGCCCGGCGAGCCGTCCATGTGGGACGACGGGGCAGTGATTTCTGGCGTATCTCAGTGCAGCACGACGTTTGAAGGGGAAAACAGGAAATTTGCCTCGTGTGAGGCGCTACCAGGGGGGTTCTTTTTCATGTGGACGCTGGGGAAAGAGGAGCTGTCTGGAGCGTTTATCTCCCAGTCTGTCTCCCCCCAAGGGTATGCTGCTGTAGGTCTGCTGCTCCCACCGCCGACGCCACTTCTAGAGGCGCTGTTTACCCCGCCCCCTGCGCCGGCGGGGGGGAATGGGAGCGCGGAGGGAGGGTATGTGAAGCCGGACTCGTTAGTGGGTGCCTCGATGCTGGTTGCAGTGAGGGCGGAGGATGGAAGCGGGGGACTGAAGGTGGAGGAGTATCAGATCGTGAAGCAGGAAGCGGGTGGCAGCAGCAGCAACGCCAGTGCCACTGGGAGCACCACCACAGGTACGCTCACCAGCAGCAGCAGCAGCGGCACCAGCGGCACCAGCAGCAGCAGCAGTGACGGTAGCAGTGCTGCCGCAATTGCACCACAGGAGCCGACAGCCATGGTTCGAGGCGGCAACCTCTCACTCATCTCCGCGAAAGCAGAGCTCCAAGCAGGCTCCCTCACGCTGCTATTCACCATCAAGCTCCCCCACAGGCAGCGAACCGGCGCAGTGCTCCTCTGGACCAAAGGCAACCAATACTTTCCTGCCAACGACTCCCTCTCCCCAGACGGACTCATAGCCATGGCAAGCGCGCCGATAGACTTCGGCAAGGAGACTGACGTGGATCCGAACGCGGCGACGGTGACGACGGCCGGGGTGGTGTATTCTGCACTGAGTGTGGCCGCGTGGGCGTTTATGCTGCCGGTGGGGGCGGTTTCGGGGCGGTATGTGCGGAAGCACAGCCGGTACTGGTTCCCGCTGCACCAGGGGTTTCAGCTGGGGGGGTACTTTCTGACGCTCGCGGCGTTCACGATTGCCATGTCGCTGGAGGCGCTGCATCGGTCCGTGGGGTACTGCGTGCTGCTGGCGCTGCTATCGACGCTCATGGTGCTGCAGGTGAGGAGAGGAGGAAAGCGATGGTTTCTGTATGTGTTGGATAGATTCTCTAGGATTCTGAAGGCTTCTTGACCCGCCACTTTCAGCACCACTAGCGCCGACTCCGCAAGGTATGTGAGTTCTTCTTGCTCAAATTATCCTACCCCGTGCTCCATTTTATCCCCTCTTTTTTCCGCCAGATCTCAGCAGTAATTATCCGTCCGCCCGAGTCCCACCACCTTCGCGACCACTGGAGGCGGTTCCACAAGGTGTGTGGGTGCTCCTTAGTGGCTTCCAATATCTCACCCCTCCCATTTCCCTCCCCTACTACCAACCCATCAAACCCATCTGTACCCCGCAGATCTCAGCAGTAATCATCCGTCCGCCCGAGTCCCACCACCTGCGCGACCACTGGAGGCGATTCCACAAGGTGTGTGGGTGCTCCTCGCTCCTCCTCTCCCTCATCCTCCTCTTCCTAGGCCTTCAGCTCCTCCAAGCCTCCTCAGGATTCTCCATTACCGCTGGTGTGTGGCTGGCGCTGCTGGCCTCGTGTTGCTTGACTCTGGAATGGCTGCTGTGGGCGAATCGGTTGACTCAGACTCGGGTTCGGCCAGAGAGTGAGAGGGAAGCGAGTGAGAAGGAGAGTGTGGATAGTGAGGAGGAGGGGGCGGAGGGGGAGGGGAGTGATGGGGAGTGGGATGATGGGATATCGGATTTGATGTTGGAAGGTGGGGATGGGGAGGATGGGGATGTGGGTAAGGATGGGGATGTGGGAAAGGATGGGGATGGGGGGAGGGATTTGGAAAGAGGAGGAGTGGAGTGCGGAGGAGGGGATGGAGAGGAGGGGAGTAAGCTGCGGGACTGGGAGAGGCGAATGCTGGCAGGGCATGCAGGGGCTCTACCCATTGGTGCTGCTGGTGAATTGACTCGGGTAGGAGGAGGAGCAGGAACAGGAGAAGCAGGAGGAGGAAGAGGAGGAGGAGGAGGAGGCGGAGACGGAAAACGAGGGTCTCACTCGCACCACCACTCACACCACCACTCGCACATGCTACCTGTAGAGCGCACAGAGAGCACCACGAGCAGCAGCAGTGGTATGGACGGGAGGCAGAGGCGGCGGCAGCAGAGGCAGCAGGAGGAGCTGGCGGAGGCAGTGGCTGCGGCCTGTGCACGAGCCACTTCTAGGATGTCATTCAGTAGCCGCATGCCCCCTGCTGGTGGTGCTGCGGGTGCTGCTGGTGCTGCTGCTGCTGGTGCTGCTGGTGCTGGTGCTGTTGCTGGAGCTGGTGTTACTCGTGCAGCTGCTGCTGCTGGTGTTGCTGGTGTTGCTGGTGGTGGTAACGGTGGTGGTGCGAGTGCTGCTGGTGCTGGTGCTGGAGCTGGTGTTACTCGTGCTGCTGCTGCTGGTGGTGCTGGTGGTGGTGGTGGTGGTGGTGGTGGTGGTAACGGTGGTGGTGCTGGTGGTGGTAACGGTGGTGGTGCTGGTGGGGTGCAGCCAGGCGAAGGGGGGCTGCTGGCAGTTGTTGCTGCTGCAGTGGCTGTTGTTGATGCAGAGGCTGCTGCTGCGGCGGCGGCGGCGGCGGCGGCGGCGGCTGGTAGTGCGGCTGCGGGTGCTGCGGGTGCCGCAGGTCCTGATTCTGTTACTAATGCAGCGTCCAGGCACACGAAGCATTACCTGAGATCGGCTACTCCCACCGCTGCTGCCGCCGCTGCTGCTGCTGCTGCTGCTGTGGCTTCCGTCAGCCTAACTGCCTCTGACTTGGCTGGCTCTGCTCCTGTTTCTGCCTCTGCCTCTGTTTCTGCTTCGGCATCTGTTTCTGCTGCCCGCGAATCCCCTGCAAAGTCAACGTATTTCAACCCACGCAACATCCTAGTTGGCGCTCCTGCTGCAAGTGCTACTTCCACCGTTCCTTCAACCAGCGCAAGCGCAACCGCTACAGCTGCTAAAGCTGCTACAGCTGCTACAGCTGCTACAGGTGCCACCCGCTACTCCAGTGCCAAGGATCCTGCTGGTGCGGTGGCTGGGCCTATGCTGAGGGCGGCAAGAGCTCTAGGAGCTGGTGAAAGCGAGCGAGGAGGGGGAGATGAAGCGGGGGGTGTTGTCAGGGTAGGAGAAGCAGAAGTTGAGACAGGGGGAACAGGAGGAACAGGAGGAGGAGGATTGGGAGCGGGAAGGGCCGAGGCAGGTGCGTTCTCCTTGGCCACGAAAACCACTTTCATGAACCCTCTCTACTCGTCCGTGGAAGGGAGCCTGAACGGAGAGGCGGGCAGCAGCAGCAGCCCTACCAGCAGCGCTTATAAGTCGACTCAAAAGCCCACGTTTGAGTCGACTGAAAAGCCCACTTTCATAAACCCTCTCTACTCGTCAATTGAAGGGAGCCTGGACCAGGAGGTGGGGAGCGGCAGCCCTGCCAGCAGTGCTTATAGCAGTGGCAAGAACAGCCCCAGAAGCAGCAGTGGTAGGGCGACTGCTGCTGCAGGTGTTCCTGCAAGAGGTGAAGGTCTCGGGAGTGTTGAGATGGTTGGTGTTGGGAAGCAGGCACTGCAGCAGAAGGGGCAGCAGCAGCAGCAGGAGGAGGAGAAGGAGCAGCAACGGCAGCTGTGGCAGCAGCTGTGGCAGCTGCAGCAGACGGGGCAAAGGGGGGCTGGGGAGCAGCAAAAGGAAGGTGAGCGGAAGCAGCAGGAGGAGCAAATTATGGAGCAGTGGCAGAGGCGAGTGCAGCAGCAGCAGTTAGGGAGAGTCTTGGACGGCGGTGCTGCTTCAAGCTCAAACAAAGCAACGCTAGGTGGGAATGCTGCTGTTCCTCCATCTACTACCAAGAATGAGGTGGTTGCAGGGAAGACTGAGGAGGAAAGGAGCAGTAGAGAGGCAGCAGCACAGGCAAGCGAGGTAGCGAGGGCATGTGAGGCTGAAAGGGAGAGGGAGGCAGAAAGGTTGAGAGAAGCAGAAAGGGCAAGAAAAGCAGAAAGGGCAAGAGAGGCAGAAAGGGCAAGAGAAGCAGAAAGGGCAAGAGAAGCAGAAAGGGCAAGAGAAGCAGAAAGGGCAAGAGAAGCTGAAAAGGCAAGAGAAGCAGATAAGGCAAGAGAGGCAGAACGGTTAAGAGAAGCAGAGGCAGAGAGGGCAAGAGAAGCAGAAAGGGCAAAAGAAGCAGATAAGACAAGAGAAGCAGATAAGGCAAAAGAAGCCCGCATGGCTGAGAACAGGCGGCGATTCGAGATGCTGGCAGCAGGCTTGGGCGGTGGTGACGGGGGTATGGGAGGAGGAGGAGCAGGGGGCAAGGGGGGAAGAGGGGCTCAGCCGATGATCAAGATGGATAAGTATAACGTGAAGGCCACAGTGGTGCATGCACCGAATTTCGCGTCGCTGAAACGGTCGCTACAGCTGCACAAGGCCCTGGCTTCCACTGAAAGCAGGGCTTCTGGTGGTGGTGGTGGTGCTGCTGCTTCGTCTGCTGCTGCTGGTGGTGGTGGTGGTGCTGGTGGTGGTGCTGCTGCTGGTGGTGCTGGTGCTGCAGCAGTCACTAGAACAGCAGCATCCGACCTTCCTTCCATTCTCATCCCTCCTCCTGGGCTCCCAGAGTCCAACGCGCCCTCGCCGCATGGCAACAACCCCCCGCGCTACAACACCCCGCCTCGCTACAACACGCCCCCACGCGCCCACTCTCCCTCGTCCCAATCCTGCTCACCCCGGTCTTCTGGCCTCCCTCCGCTTCCTCCCTCCCCTTCCTCCTCTGGGGGAGGAGGAGGTCCCTTCCTCCGTAACCGCACTCCTTCTCCTGGTAACCGCACCCGTGCGCTTGAAGCCGCAGCTGCTGCAGCTGCAGCGGCAGGTGCAGGAGAGATCAGCGCTGCTGGAGCTCGGATCGAGACGGCTGGTGTGTCTGGTAATGGCTCCAGGGCAAGAAGAGCACTCAGCTTCGAAGCATCCTTTGAAGCATCCCAGAGCTATCCAGCAGGAGGAGTAGGAGGAGGAGGGCTTGATGCTGCTGCTCAGGCTGAGTCGGTTCACGCAGGTGTTGGCAGTAGTGGGTCGGCGGCACGGAGAGCAATAAGCTTGCTGCCTGCGACGGCCGATGCCCCTCGCTCTCTCTCCCCCACGCCCTCAGGGACCGGGCCTAAGCAAGAGCTTCCCCACCCTCAGCAGCAGCAGCAGCAGCAGCAGCAGCAGCAGCAGCAGCAGCAGCAGCCAGTGTTTTACCACCAACAGCAGCAGCCGCTTCTGCCGCAGCAGCTACTCTACAACCAGCAGCAGCAACAGCAGGCATACATGGTTATGCCATCCTCCCCTACCTCCTCCTCCTCCTCCATCCTCCCACCTATAGCTGAACTCCCCTCTGCATCACCGGAACTACACAGCCTGGGAGGTGTATTCTCAGGTGCATCGACAGGATTTTCCTCAGGTGGTCCTTCAGGTGCATTCGGGGGAGGTATATCCTCAGGAGGTGGTGCTTCTGCTGCAGCTGCTGTCCTTTCATCTCAGCACATGCCCTCGTCGCCCTCCCTCTGCCCCTCCCCCGGCTCTGCTGCTCTCCCGACACTCCCCCGACGGCCGTTGGATCTCTCCGTCAAGGCATCGCAGCCGTTGATCTCAACTGCCCCCAGGAGAATCCTCTCAGCAAGCTCGTTTGCTCCTGAGGGGGCAGCGAGCGGGAATTATGGGAGTGGGAATCAGGGGAGTTATGGGGGTGGAAATTATACTCCATCCGGGGGGCTTGGAAGTCCTGGGAATCATGGGAACCACGGGGGTGGGAATTATAGCTCCCATGGGAGTCCTGGGGGGCATGGCAGTCCTGGGAACTTTGGGGGGTGGGGTGCTGGTAGAAGGCTAGGGTCCCCTGCTGCAGGTGGTGGTGGGGGTGGTGGTGGTGGTGGTGGGACTGGATACTTGTTTCAACGGTCAGGATCGAATGAAGGGGCGGGATCTGGGTTTTTGTTCCAGCGGTCAGGATCGAACGAGGGGCTAGCTGTTGATGGTGATGGTTCTGGTGATGGTTTACCATAGAGGGCATGGCAAGGGTTAGCACGTACGGTAAGAAAGAGGCATTAGGCTTCTCTGTTTCTTCTAGTTGCTCTTTTAGAATGCAACAAGGAGCACTAGTATCGAGTATACACTGCACCAATAATACCAATTTCAGTATGATTCCACTGTCAGGCTATGGAGCATACACAACATATCATCATGCGGTAAATGATGTTAACTGGTGTATATCAGACAGTGAGCACCTGATGTGGGATGGCTAGTTGATCTACACCTTTCTTCAGCACTTTAAGAACTTCCTTTTCAGTCTCCCCAGGGCCAACTCCCATCTTCGCGACCCCCTTTGCCCCGGCTTCTTGAAGCATTCTCATAAACTTCTGCCCAACTAATGCTCGAACTCCCACCAATGCAGCCAGCAGCAGCACGCGCCTGTAGGAACCGCACACAACCCTTTCGCACGCCTCCTGAACCACTCCGAACCCCATCTGGCCTTGGCCCACGAAACGCCCCAGCCACTCCCCGAGCACCTGGGAATTCCGAAGTCCCGATGTTTCTGCAGCTGCTTTTGGTGGTGTCATATCCACGTTCTTGGAACGAGCGACAATTACTGTACTGTTTGCTACACCCTCACTCCTGTGACTGGTGCTGCCTCTCCCGATCAGTCGAGCGAATGACAACGCGCCACTTGTCAGCGATCCGTCAGGCAGAGCTTTCCTCGTCGCCAGGCTGTCAAGCAGCAACGCCACGGATTCGAGAACGGCGCGAGCTGATTGGCCGATGGGCACGAGCACCTGCTGCGATTGGCTGGCTGGCAGCGGCGGCGAATTACAGCCGTTGGATCCTGAGGAAGACTGAACGGCAGGAGATGCATTCGCAGCAGGAGCTTTAGCAGTTGCTGCTGCAGCAGCAACAGCAGCAGCAGCAGCAGCAGGGGGGACCTCAGCAGCAGAA